CCACACCTGTTGCATCGAAGCAGCGTTGATCCTCCTGTAGTGAAGACAAGCCCTCGGTTTCACTTCTGTTTAGAGACAGTTTCACTGGACTTCCTAGCTTTCAGGCACTTCCCCAATGCTGTTGTGTTTGGAGAACAAACACTGAAAAAGGATGTTTAAATAAAAGCAAAAGAAAAACTGATTTTGATTTTTTTTTTAAATGTCAAGGAACCATTCTGTTCTTAGCTTTTAATAAAACCTGTTTTTTTGTACAAGAAGCTGGGGTTAAATGAACGTGACCGCATCCCTTGAATTTTAATTTTTTCTCTCTCTCTCTTTTTTTTTTTTTAAAGTTTCTAATTTTATTATGACAGATGAAAGATGATTAAAGCAAAAGCAATGAATATGCAAATGTGTATGTATGTGTAATAAAAGGGATAACAAAATACAGATTATTACAGTTAGTGCAAAAATACATTTTTCTTTATAAAAATGCTCTTTTTGATTAAAGAGCTATTTTAGTGAGAAAACTTGCATTTTGGTCAAAAATTTTCAGGTTGTTGAAATAACCGGGTTCCCCCCCCCCCGGTGTCTTTGACAAAAACAAAACCTTCTACTACACAGTCAGACAATAATTAAAAGTGTCATTCAAGGAAACTAACACTTTCTTCCCCCCTCTCCCCAACCTCTACAGAGTACGTAGCATTTCCAATGCGGCCGGCAGGCTGAACTGTTAATACTTGAGCTCTGATCTGCTCCCCACTAATGGTCTGATTTGATTTGAGTCAGAGCTGTTCACCTAACTGTAAATACACAGGTTTTCCATTAATTTATAGTGTAAAGAAATATTGGGCCAGGATTCACCCGCCCCCCCCAGTCTCATGCCAATATTATGTCCCTGCACCTTCATTGAAATTAAGGCCTGTTTCACCAGATCCAGCGACGTGACCGGTCTAGGAACTCGGTGCCTGTTACTGCGGTGGAGAGGATGCTTTATAAGTGACACACTTTTCAATTAAATTAAGGCCTGATGGAAAGGCTATGGAAGTCAATTGTAGCCTTTCCATTGACTTAAGTGGGCCATAGCTTTGGCTCCATAGGATTAAGAGGGTCTTAAGTATTGCACAAGCCTTGTGCTTAGCAAGGGTGTATTTCACCCAGCTACACCAATCGTTAAACTCACGTCTCTCACCTCCTTGCCACTCCCATCACGGGTTCCTAAATATTTTCCTCTCTATTGCATTTGCCATCTGCAAGCAATGCTGGCCAGGCAGACAGAAAGCAGTCAACAAAGGAGGCAGCATTTTGTCATTTCCATGCATGGCCGATCAGCAGTTGTAAATACTTTTTAAAAAAATAAAGTAGCTGGGTGTTTAACTGCAAACTAGGTCTTTCTCCTACTTCTCTGAACTGCGGGTAGTTTAAAAACCGGGCAGGAGACTGAACTATTCTAATAGTGAACACGAAAGGATTGGGAGAAATTCCTGCAAGATATTTTCTGTGCTACTACCTCCCAAGTGCTTTTACATGTGGGCTTCGACTTCTGAAAGTTTGTCACAACTAAAACAAAGCTGGTCCCCAACAGGCCCACCTATGGCCAAGAAGCTATGATATTTCCTACATCACCACTAGCAGGTGTTGACACCAGAGAGGCAGCACTGAGAAGTCCAAGGCTGACCTTGAAAAGACAGGAGGATGGGAAATCAACTTGTGCTAAATCAAGATGGGGCAAAGCTGAGATGGGAACTTCACAGGCGAGCCCATGTGAGTATTAATTCATTACAGGTTCAAATAGAGAAAAGCAACGAACATTGTTTGGGGCGGTGGATTAAATTCTGAAAGACAGAATACAGCTGATGGACTTAAAATCAATAAAGCGTAATCTCTGTGTTACAGAAAGCAACTGAGATGATTCCCAGATAGAGTTCCAGAGGATCTTTAATTGCACATACAGCAAACAAATCTCATCTCCTTTTAGTCTCCTTCAAAAATATAGTTTGTCTGTCTGTCCATACTTCCCTTTGACACATTCTAGCTACTTACAAAACAGCTTCATGGAGGAAAAAACACCAACACATTCTTCAGTATATAATTCCCCTAGCTGGATGTCATTCTAATTGGAACACTGACTCCAGGATGTTTGAACTACCCACCCATGGCTTTGCATTCATCCATTTCCCACACCACTGTAAAGAAGAGTTGTGACTATGTACTGCAAAGGAGGGAGGAAGTTGGTAGCCAAAAATTAAAGAGATCTGCAGTGAACGCTGGATGTTCGTTATCAAATTCAGACAGGTCTTTGGGCAGAGTAAAACGCTTCACTTCAGTAAGGACAAAGTTTGGAACCAAGAATCCCCAAATGTTACTCCTTTAGGAGAGGTAATGGGCCGATCGCTCCTTAGGCGAGGTATTGTCTAGGCTTAGGATTTAGCAAATGATGGCCTGCAATGCAGGCACACCAATCTGCGAGTGCAGGCTTGGAAAGTCCTATTTTGCACCAACTGGGCTCACTGTTGCTTGAAGCCAGTGTAAGCTCAACTAGTACAAACTGCAGTTTTCCTTCTGTACACTTGGGGCTTTTTCACCAGTACAGATTATCCCAGTTGCTGGCCATCAATGGCTGAATCAGGGCTGATGCCAAGTACAGAAAAAGCCCTACTGTTTGTAAAAAGGCTCTGAGGGAAACTTAAAAAAGGACCAGAACTAGATCCCAAGCAGGGGTTAATAGTCTCCAACTGGGCCTTGTCACAGCTGGGGGGCTAGACAAGTGCCACCCTTGAGAGAACAATACCCAGTTGTTCCAGGAGAACAACTGAAAAGAAACAGAGGGGCCGTCTTGAAGGTGGAACTTTTTTTTTTTTAAAATAGCTTTTAAAAATACAAAAGAAGAGACAGTACACAGACCTATTGAGGAGTCAGGTGATAAAGAGTGAAATACCCCCGCTGCACTCATTCAGTTTTACAGCTGGAGCAAGGAGCAGATCTGCCATAGGAACCGGTTCCATTCCCGGCAGATGGTCCCTGGTTTTGAGGTTCAAAGCCCCTCGAACGCTTCCCATCATGGGTGCCTAGGGATTTTTATAACGGGCGCACAGAAAGGGAGGAATAAGCTTGGTTTCCAAGTTTAACGATCCCTTCATATGGGATTTCCTGTGGCTTGTTTGTTTCTATTTTTCCTTTCAAGTTTCATGCCAAATAAAAGAAATAACTGACACAAAGTGGTGGGTGAGAAGTGAGCTCTTTCTGGTGCTACGACATCCTCTCTAGACTTGTTAATCCAGCGATTGTTTTATCACACTAGAAGAGTTGCACTTTGTATTCAGCCAGCACAGCACCACCTAGGACACCTCTATCCTGCAATTAGACACCCGTGGCTGGCCTGGGCCAACTGATTCAGGCTCACGGGGCTAAGGGGCTGTTTAATTGCAAGGTAGCCAGTTGGGCTCCGGGATCCTCCCACCTTGCAGGGTTCTAGAGCCTGGGCTCCAGCCAGAGCCTGAACATCTACACCGCAAATAAACAGCTCTTTAGCCCAAGCTCTGCAAGTCCGAGTCGGCTGGCACGGGCCAGCCGCAGGTATTTTATTGCAGGGGGGAGAAACAGGAACTCTGGGCAATACTCATTATATTAAGTTCCAGTCTTTTGTGGTCTTCCTCCACCATACACACAGTTACTCCACATACGTGTCCATGAACAGGGGATACTCCATTTCCTTTTTGCTGCTTAATGCTTCATGCAAGTAGATAACAGTCCTTCAGACCGTGCAAGCAACCCACAGATGAATCTAGGACCCTCTTTTGTTTTTATGACAGATCCTGTGTTTATCAAGGAGCAATGATCATTCACTTCCATCCAAGAAACTTCTCTACTGCATCTGCCAGCTAATAGTAACAGATATTTAAGAGGGTCCTTGTGATAACTATAAAGAGAAGGGTAACAGCCCTCCTGTGTACCATACTATAATCCCTCCTGGCCAGAGACACCAAAATCCTTTTACCTGTAAAGGGTTAAGAAGCTCAGGTAACCTGGCTGACACCTGATCCAAAGGCCCAATAAGGGGACAAGATACTTTAAAATCTGGGGGGGGAGGGGGGGAAGGCTTTTGTTTGTGCTCTTTGTTTTGGTGGTTGTTCGCTCTTGGGACTAAGAGGGACCAGACATCAATCCATGCTCTCCAAATCTTTCTGAACAAGTCTCTCATATTTCAAACTTGTAAGTACAGCCAGGCAAGGCGTGTTAGTTTTAATCTTTGTTTTCTCAACTTGTAAATGTACCTTTTGCTAGAGTGTTTATCTCTGTTTACTGTAACTTTGAACCTAAGGCTAGAGGGGGTTCCTCTGGGCTCTTTAAGTTTGATTACCCTGTAAAGTTATTTTCCATCCTGATTTTACAGAGATGATTTTTACCTTTCTTTCTTTATTTAAAAGCCTTCTTTTTAAGAACCTGATTGATTTTTCCTTGTTCTAAGATCCAAGGGGATTGATCTGGACTCACTAGGAATTGGTGGGGGGAAAGGGAAGGAGGGGGGGATGATTAATTCCTCCTTGTTTTAAGATCCAAGGGGTTTTGGATCAGTGTTCACCAGGGAATTGGTGGAAGATTCTCTCAAGGCTACCCAGGGAAGGGAGCTAGCCCTTGGGAGTGGTGGCAGCGGACCAGATCTAAGCTGGTAGTGAAGCTTAGAAGTTTTCATGCAGGCCCCCACATCTGTACCCTAAAGTTCAGAGTGGGGAAGGAGCCTTGACATCCTAGATCAGCATTTTAAAAATGCGGGAAGTTTCAAGGAAATACCACCAGCATAAATGTGGGCATTAGGAGTCAGCTGTCCTCATCCGGGTGCCATGAACTCCACCAGATTCACCAAACAAGCAAGGCTTGGACCACATTCAATGCGAAATTGGGGCAACGGCAACTTTCCCCACACTGGTGGGGGGAGTGCATTATTAGAGCCATGTAACCTCCGAACTGACAATACACTCTTAGTCATTGCCCTGCTTAGGCAAATGGGCATCTCCTCTTACCAGGTTTGGGGATGAGTCCTTGAAAAGGCCTGGAAAATAGAAGGAGAAAAGAATACTTAGAATGAAGCCAAGGCAGAAAGCAGGCACGCCTACACTGGCGGTTGTTGTGAACAGCAATTATACTTGTTAGTCATTATTTGAGAGTTAGTGACGAGGCCCCAGTCAGGATCAGGGCCCCGTTGCGATGGATGCTGTACAAACATATAAGCTCATCAGAGCAGGGACCATATCTTCCTACTTCATCTGAAGCACAATGCAAGAGAGGCAGTCTGGCCCAATGGGGAAAAAAGCACTGGACTGGGCTTCAGGAGGTTGGGTGCTCTTCCCAGCTCTGTTACCGATGCACTGGGACACACTGGACAAGCTGCTTCTCGTCTCTCTTTCCACTCCCTCCCTTCGGCTGTCTTGTCTTTTTAGACAGTGAACTCATCAGGGCCAGGACCGGCTCTCACTATGTGTATGTGCAGGACCTAGCACGATGGGACCCTGGGATCTCAGTTGGGCTTCTGGGCACTGCACTCGAAGAGCTTCACAAGGGAGGTCAGCCTCATTATCTCCACTTTGCAGATGGGGAAACTGAGACAAAGGGAAGTGAACCAATTTATGCAAGGTCACCCAGTGACAGAGCTGGGAAAAGAACCCAGGGTCTCCCCAGTCTGGTGCCCTAGTCATTAAGCCACCCTGCCTGCACCCTGCCTGCACCCTCAGGAGTTAGCGGGGTTCTGAGCCACAGCCCACTGAAGTCAACGTTAATCTTTCCATTGTTTTCTGCAGGCTTTGGATCAGGCCCTTGTTGCACAGCGTCTGACCGTACCAACTCATCTGAGAGGGGTTTAAAAAAAAGGAACAAATTCAGTTATACCCTTCCCGAAGCTGCCACTAACCCCAGCCATTGCTGATTGGCTGATTTCCTGGAAGCCACACAGCTGGAGCAACACAACCCAACGGACCCAGCACAGCTTGTTGTAATAATCCCACCCCCCCCACACACACAACACAGCACAACACTTAAGAGGGAGCACCCCTCAGTGCTTTCTCATTAGAGACGTGGCACCCTGCGGTGACAGGAGACAAAGGGTGACTTTTCATTCCTGTGATATTTACACCCAGGTACTTATTTTTAATATGATCTGCCCCCACCCTGACAGGCAGCAACTGAACAGAAAGGAAGAGGAGGAAAAGGAGGGGAAACCTATATTTTATACCCCACTTCTTTCCGTCAAATTATTAACTGCCTGCTTAATTGTTGTCTCTCAGCAGGATGGAAGCCTGTGTCATTAGAATATATTTATAGCCTTTCCCTTGAGGGGGACTGGCAGCACACGTGATGGATTCAGCCTCAGAGACTTAAGCTCAGGCACATGCAGCGGTCACTGGCACCGGGACCATGTTGTGGGTTCCCGCCCCCCCCCCAGGCTGCATGGCAAACAGCCCTTAGGGAAACATACCTTGTTACTGTGAACTTGATTTTGTCAGCCACAGCTAATATTCTCTCCAGGTTCTGAGAACCAAAAGTGCACGGTTTCCTGAACGGAATTCCAGGGGGGAGCCCCTCTATAATCACGGACCCTGGGTTGCTTTTAATCCGTTTGTATGGCACTTGCACTGGGTACTTGATTCCCAAGGCCTCGCCTGGAAGAAAAACAAACCATAGATGCATCTCATATTTAGGATTCAAGCAGGATTTCAGATATCAGGTCCGGCCTCAACTCCTGTTATTCCACACATGTGCAATATCTCCCCACCTCCCCCCACCCAAAGTGCACGATCGAGTACAGAACCAAATGTGCGAGCTGCTTAAATGGAGCATGTCAATCTTTAGATCAAGGACCAACATTTTCAGGGCCATCACCATGGGGACGATCAGAATGGAATGGTCCTGAGGCAAGTAGTGAACGCACAGAGCCGTAGCGAAGAGCTGATGAAGCAAAGGAGAGACAATTAGGGAGCTAAAGCTACATTAAAAAAAAAAAAAGAAGAAAAGGAAAAAAGATAAAGGGCATCCTAAGCTGGTGATCAGACAGTACGGTAGGAAGGATGGAAAGGTAAGTGCAAGTCACTCAGGGACATTATTTGGGGCAATTTCCATTCCATTTTCCTACCCCCATGTCCATCTGCTGGAGTAAGACCAGCAGCTTCCTCCCAAGAAAATGCGATCACATGTTGGATGGGAGAGAGCGGCTACATTGGGTAGACTCCTCGGACTAGGCTCCAAGGGAGGAAGGAAGGCCCAATGGTTAGGGCACTAGCCTGCCACTTGGGAGACCTCCGTTCAGGTCTCTGCTCCACCGCAGACCTTCCATGTGAGCTTGGCAATCACTAACTCCTCTGTCTCAGTTCCCGATCTATAGATAATAGCACAGAGGTGTTGGCGGTGGTGCTCAGATAGTCTAGCAATGGGGGCCAAGTAAGCATCACAGACACATCCCCAAGGAAACACACAGGTAGACAGAAAGGACCTGCCTCCCAAATGCCCTACTCAGTGGCTGATACTCTTCGTTTATAGGTCTCTAAGGTGCCACAAGTACTCCTGTTCTTTCTTCGTTTACAATCATTCCAGTCCTCTCCTCCCCTACACACTCCTTCCCTCCACCCCTAGCACCAGGAGTTCAGACGCATCTTCCTAGCTCTACAACCCTCTGCTAATGAAATTACCATCTTCATCCTTCAAGGTGGGGGGGGGAGTGGGGGTTGAATCTGTCTAGGAACTGCAAGCAGCATTAACAAATGATGCATGCTCCCGATCACACGAATCTTTCCTGCTGAGTAAGAGCCATCTACACTACCAAAGCCTTCAACAAAAGCCACTTATCCCCCCCCTCAGAGAACAGAACCACCATTCTGTTTTAATCCATGCGCAAGTGCCGTGTCCCACATGTGACCCTCAGAACAACAACTGCTCGAAATGAAAAGGGGGAAGCCGTATGAAACCACCCAGGGAGAGGTGATCAAAACAGAAATTCAGAGGAACAGGGAGATAGGAAAGGGAGAAGACACAGAGAAGGGAAAGATTCAGGGAAAAAAGAAAATCACCCTCATCTCTCACCATATTTCTTGTTGAACAGATCTTGGACTTGCTCCCTTAGAGTGTTAGCAATATCTATTCTCGAAAGCCTGGCGTCATAATTTTCTGTAAAGTAAAGAAACAATTATGGACTTTGGCTGTTCAATTAAAAGGCACTCTGTGACTTTTAAGTAATACAATTTTCTAATTATAGGAAAGTCCTTATCTAGCAATTAACCAGTCCCTAGAGTAGGCCATTCACAGTCCTTAAAAACCAAAATAGTTTCAACAGAAATAGGTATTTTTCTCCTATTCTCTAAGAATGCTGAGCAAGAGCTGCATTAAATCTGAGATTCAATCATCGTAATTACTGACATTACACAAAGTAACATAAACCTCAAGCCACGCTCTGCAAGAGGCAGGGAGCGTTCTGAACTGGTGCTCTAAGAGGATGCGTTCTCCAGAAGAGACCCTGAAGAAGTCAGGGACCTGGTTACTGCAGTCAGCCATGGTGGTCAGGAATTAGCTAACCAAAGAGGCAGGGATGTTGTGGACAACTCTGACAGATGTCTCCCCTGGAGAGGATGGAGCTGTAGAAAATTTGGATCATGGGTTACACCAATTTACTCCAAATGAGGATCTGGCCCTTGGTGTCCAGGACCCTCTGTACTGCTTCTTACTCATCCTTTATGTGCCATTCGAGAAGGCCTGACAAGTCCATAGGAGAATTAGGATGTATTGAAATCTTTACATTAAGACCTAAGTGAGTCTCCCATTCAGGCCACATGCATCTGTTGTGATGATGTGCAAACTGATGGGGACCCTTTTATTAGAGCTGAACAGGCACTGGTGGAGAGCCATTGTCCAGGGAAGCAGCCATGTAGATAACCGCTATTGCTGGTGCAAGAGTCCCCATGGACTGCTCCCCAAACCTCTACCAGACAGTGGTATTTACCAGCACTCCCTTGCACTGGCAATGAGAAACGGACCAATATTGTCAGCAATATCCTAGACACTTTGTCACCTTCTACACTAGCTAACAGGGGAAGAGTTTATCTTGGAGGGTTGACTCTGTTTAGACCAGAGCAGTGATAAGTCAGCCACGGGAAAACTCGGAAAGTCCCAGCACCACCACCAAACAGTTCCTTTGTGAGGGCTGCTCAGGCTGCATCTACACTATGAGCTAGGGGCATGATTCTCCTGCTCACGCGCACACGTACTTGCGGTGGCTCTCATCAAGCTAATGCAACTATAAAGAGCAGCGTGGCCACGATAACACAGGTAGCAGCCGCTGCGGCATGGCTTAGGTACGTAGTCGGCACAGCTAAAGCCATGCCTTCACTGCCAGGTCCCTCAATGAGTATCTTGGGTGTCCAAGTGCCAAACCAGACCACCGTATGGTATACTATTAGCTCCATTCCGACTACCATACTCCGACTACCCCACTAGTGCATCCGCCTACTTATACCAAGTCTGAGTTCGGATTGGCACGAAAGATTCAGACGGCATGTTAGAGGGCAGGAATGTTTGGCACTTCTTCTAGGAAAGGCAAATGGGCGCACCGGTTGCTTACACGGAGTCTAAATTTGGCTGCGTGTGTATCTAATTCCAAGTCATTCTTCATTCTAGGTCCGCTCCACAGTCAGTGGGGGTCTTTCCACTGATTTCAACAACCCCTGGGTCAGGCCCTTCACCTGCAAAGGTCTGTGCGCTTTGCCGAGAAATAACATATAGACAGTGGCACTTGAACAGCTCTCAACGCTTGCCTTTCTGAAGGCTCGGTCTATCTGGTGTGGTTTAAAAAGCACAGCTGTTTCTCCTTTATAGTGTAGGGGAAGCCAGGACAATGCCATCAGAGGCTGGACATACTGGGAAGAGAAAGCGGACTCTGGTCTGTGAGAAGGCCTGTGCGCATGAGACTTGGCAGCAAGTGTAGTGCTGTTCCGGCGAGCACTGCAGAGCTGAACGGTATGTACATAAACATCAGCAGAGTTGAAAAAAAAAAAAAAAAGCAAACCCCGGGGCTCAGAGTATTTAATTTTGTGCCTTGCAAGGTCAGATTGAGAGAGAATTAAGTCATCCAATTATGGCATATTCCTGAATGCCTCTCAAACCCCTCTGTGCTCAGAGCTTGCCCAGACTTTGCCTCTTCCCTCCTTGAGATCCTTCCTGTCCTGCCGCCATACTGCTTCCTTTGTCTTCTCCCTCTAGCCTCAGCTTTGGGCCCTTCGTCCATCTGCCTGCCAAGCCTTTAAACCACACTGCTGCCTGGGGCCTTTGCTACATTCATCTCCTCAACGCCAATACTTCCATGCCATTACATGAACCGCGGGTTCTGTCTTCTGCGTGATGGATTGCTAGCGCTCACCGGGGCAGCCAGGAGGAAGAATGCTCTTGTGGTGAAGGTACCACCCTGGGATTCAGTTCTCTGCCCCACTGCAGGCTGTGTGTCTGACAAGTCATTGTTATGTCTGGGCCTCATTTTCCACATCTGGGAAATGGGGTGATAACACTTCCCTCCCTCCCAGCAGTGTTGTGCAGATATATACATTAGTGACGGTGGCATGCCCCAATACTGTGCTGATGGGGGCCATACTAGTACCTAGACAGACAGGCATTGGCTCCATGCTGTAAATGCCACTATACAAAGATATATTAACAAGAGGTGTAGTACTGCCCTCATCTTCCCATAGCCATAGCCAAGTACATTCCAACCCCCCTGTGGGTTTATAGAAGACTGACATGGAAAAGCTCTTTTAAATGCACTTCAGACTCAGGAGATCTTTCCAGATGCTGCCCACTCTTACCTTGAAAGCCCTGTCTCTTCACAGCGTCATCGACAAGGGAGTCACTGGAGTCTCTCTCGCTGGCTGCAAAGACAAGGGACACAGCAGGAAGCGTTAGCACTACCTGTGCAACTGAAGCAATAACAAACAAGGCTCTAATTTTCAGAGCTGCTGGGCGTCCGCAGCTCCCAGTGCACTGACTGCGTCCACAGCACTCTGAGAAGTCAGGCCTAAAAGACTACAGAGGTAGGGGAAGGAATGCAGTGCTTTGGAAACTGTTCGGATTCCTTTCACGCTTCATTATTGATGCCCGGGTTATCTGTAAGTTTCAGAATCCTACCCATAGCTCCTGGGCTGTCAGAGGTAGTCTCCTTCACTCCCTCAGCAAGAAGCTCTGGTCTGGAAAACATTGAAAAAACAAGATGAAGAGTGAGTGAGGATCCATTCCTGTAAACCTTCAAGTTCTTACTACTACAATCTGTCCCCTAGGATAACACTCGTGCCCACGAACCCAACACACACACATCTGGCAAATGCAATTTTAAACCTCTTGCAATACAACAAGGCAAGCTTGAAAATCATTTTCATGCCAGAAGAGTCTTCAGAGAGCCAAGAAGTGGGTTGTGCCCACGAAAGCTTATGCTCTAATAAATTTGTTAGTCTCTAAGGTGCCACAAGTACTCCTGTTCTTTTTTCAGAGAGCCAGTGTAACACCCTATGGGATAAGATTAAGTTCAGAGCTGCTGAGCATCTTCTATTGCACGCAAGTACAATGCAGTTCCTCTCCATAGACAATGCAGTGCAGAAAATTTTATTTATGATAAAAAATGAACCAGGATAGGACACTGGTATCTGTTAGAAACCCCACATACAGGTGTTTAGAGTTATACTACAGAGAAGTAGATTTGAAGGAGTGGGACAGGTGATAAGACAAATCACAAATGCCAAACCTGCTGTCAGTTTGCAGATCAAGTATTGGTTGGATGCCAACCAAATTCTGCGCCCAACTTTTATTTTCCATTTCAGCTGTCATCCAGCCTTGCCTCCACTAGTCCCCTCATCTGCGAGGGAGAGGTTGTGCCCAAGAGCAGATTAACACATGTCTAGCAGCCAGAACGTAAGCACTAATACCACTTCCTTAGCAAGCCAGAGGATCCAGAATTTGGAATCATTCCGAGAGAGACAGTAAAAGGTGTTTGAGGCATAAATACCAGACATCTCTTGAACTCTGACCCTAAAAATCTAACTGGGCAGGACCAGAGAACGTGTTCCAACATCTCCTCTGTGCCCCCTCTCATCCAGTCAAGCTTAGATGTCTTATCAATTTATTTCATCTGGTTGGGGAAATAAAACACAATCTTAAATTGGATTTCTACAAAGCTAAAGGCCTGCAATTATACCACCTACAGCTGTGATTAAATCAGGTCATCTAAGATAAGAAGAGCTAGGCTGGATTAGCACTTAGATGGGAGACCTCCACCTAGGGGAGTTAGATGCCAGCCTGCCATTTAAATTAATGGGGGTTATAAAATCTAATTCCCCTCGGTGGCTTTGAAAATCTTAGGTGCTGCAGGAAGTTTTGCTGCTGATGCAGTAAAGTGATTTCCTCCATTTAATTCCACACTGCTATAATGTCCTGGCATGGTGTTACGGAGCATTCAATTGCTGGAGGTGCGGCCTGTCACGAGATGTAAAACCAAGCCTCTGCCCATTTGTGGTCACGGACTATCCTGTGGTGCTTTCCTCAGCATTGACCTCAGCATTTATGGACAAATTATAACTGCAGTTTCTACTGGGTACAGAATTCTTCTCTCCTTCCTGGCCTACGCTGTTGTGCCGTGTTGCCGTTGGCTGCTTTAACAGTTGCTCTATTTTAGTTGTGGCTAAAAACCGATGCATGTGTATGTCACAGTCCCCCCACCCTCAAACACATCCTTGTTACTAGTGGAGATGGAACCTGGGATGTTCAGCACTAAAAGCAGAGTCTTCTACTGTCAGAGCCAAAGAAACAACTCCATCAGCTGGCAGTAACAGCAGGCCTTTATCCAATATATGCACCAGCCACTAGATGGAAACCTAACATACTCAGCCAGCAGGTTATACATATATACAAATAGTTTTATACGATCAGTCTGTCCACGGCTTTGTTGTAATTCTGGAGGAAAGGCCTTATATAAACACAAGACTGTCACATAGCCTCACATCCTGCAAATTCAAATGCATCAATCCACACTTTCAGGGAAGTTCTGCAGTCAGCGCTTCCCTCCAGGCAATGACTTTGGACTCCAATAGCAATGACCTACGTAGCACTTGACCCAGAGACTTGAAGGTGACAAGCTTTGTATCCTATTACAAATCCTCTGAGCCAGGCAGTGCCACCCCTCCCCTCCGCAAAGCACATGAGGAGGAGGTCAACGATATCATCGCTTCCTTTGAGCAATTGTTCAAACAAAGTAACCATCTGATCGCTTTCATAGGGAACATTCATTGCAGAAGATCAAGCTCCGGATGTGTTCCAGGTAATTTATGGGACACAGGTCTCTTCTTTAGAAGTAAAAGCACAAACAGTAGCATAACGTGCAGCCTCCCTGAGAGATTTGCAGATACTGTACCAATAAGAGGTTCACCAGACTTGCCTTACCTCTTAATGACAAACTGGATGCTGTTGCTAGCTTGCAGTATCTTTTTCAGCTTTGCAATCCCAAAGCAGTTAGGACGCCGGAGTAAGATGCCTTCAGGCAAACCCACCACAAACAAGTCTTCTGGGTACATCAGGAACTTGGCGTAGGGGACTTTGACAGGCTCCGAAATTCCTATGGCTTTAGCTGAGTAAGGATCAAGTCTCATTAGTTCATTTGGCCTTCAAGTTGGGCCCAAGTAAAACTGACATCACACCCTATGTTTTGGGGGGAGGTTTACACACACACACACACACACACACACACACACACACACACACCTCCTCCTGGGCGTGTCTTTATGAACCTGAGTCATACAGACTGTAGAGCACCCTATGGAAAGAAGAGAAAAATCTACTAAACGATCCTGGGTTGTCTTCTGAATTTGCTTGTTAAACGTAACATGTAACCTGCCTCTCAACAATGTACTTGTTCCTGAAAATGTTGGGAGACACTCTCTTAAAGCAATAGGGACCCCCCATGTCTGTATCCTCTCTCTGCAATTGCCTGATTTCTGGAACAGGAAGAGGAATTACACACAGAATCACCATATTGTGACAGTTCTGTAGTGCAAATTTAACCCCCCGGAGGGGTGTATTACAGGCCTCCCCCTGGGCCATCTTGACCAACACACCAGCTTTTGAACTGGGGACTGCCACAGCTAAATGCACAAACGGCTACAACTTGAGCTAGAGAGCTCAGGCTCCCCACCTGGGGCTGTCACAGACTCCTATCCTCTGCAGATCAGCACAGAGCTGCCCATATCACATGCACTCACCACCGGGTTACACAGGCCAAGCCATGGCTATACACAGTCAAGAACCAAGTTCTAGAGTGGTCTTAGGTAACTTTCTACTGTTATAGAGGTGGTCTGGGAGAACTTAACGCTGGTGAAAGGCACTGGACTGACAGGCCTGGTGACTGGAATCCTCTGTGTATCTAAACATGCCCTACCAAGACGCCTTAACTTTGATGTGGAGGGACAACTTTGAAGGGCAAGAGCGCAGCTCTCGGCCACTCCACTGACGCTAGCACCAAGGGTGGTAGTTAGTGACAACACTTGCAGTGTTTTTGTGATGAGGACACTCGTCCACTAGGAACCAGACTGAGGACACAAGCTCATTTCACACATGGCTCAAGATTCAAAAGCGCTTGGCTCACAGCAGCTCCCCCTCATTGTTCTCTGTGGAGAAAGTGGGGATTTCTCCATTGTATTCATTGGGAGCTCAGCTCTTTTGAAAATCCAGCCAATAGGCTGCTGAACAGCCATCCCAGAGCAACAGCTTTTGGTCAAAAAGAAAAAAAAGAAGACTCTGGGCTGAACATGAGCTAGCAATTTGGAGTTGACAGGCTCTACTCATTGCCAAACCTGGGAGTAATCCAGTTCCCACTGGAAACCTTATTGTTAAGTCTAAAGCTCTTTAATAAACTAGCGTCACCAGGAACAGAACCTCTCTACAGATCATTTCAGTCTTGCAGAACAATGGCAAACCAATTTGTTTCAACCATCCTAGAAAGCTCTTCCTGTTTTAAAGATTCCTTCTGATCTAAAGCCGCCCACGCTTAATGTGGAACTGATATGCTTTCCAAATACGTATAAAAACCCCATGACCCCACCACCACCCACCACAAATAACCCCAACCACCCAACAACCCATTTTAAGATCCTAATTCAATCCACAGAATGGAAGGTTTAGCCTTAACATGACAAATAAGTACATTTTTAAACACATTTGAAATCCCATTTCCTCTTTCTTTTAACTGCCAGGACCTCAGCTCAGTGGAGGGTGTTTCTCCAGCAAAAAACTTGCCCAGAGCAGCTTAAGGGTTGCAGCTCCCCTGCTCTGCTTCTGGTGTTTGTGACATCAGCCCTTGTGGGAGAATCCCAGAACCGTGAATTCTGGTTGTGACAGGCCCAGAAAACTTTGTTTATTCTCAAAAGGTTCTTGTAATTTTCCATGTCCCTTTCTGTTC